CTCCTGCAAGCCCCAGAAACCCCTCCCTTCAGCTCCAGGCAGCAGAGATCAATGCGGGTATTTGTGTCTTTAACAAAAAGGAAATGTAAAATAAAACTTCCCTCATTTATTTTCCAGGGGAGTTAACTCATGGATCTCCCTCCCCCTCCTAACCTGTTTTGTGTTGTTCCTTTTTCTTCCTGATGAAATAGAATTTGGTTTTCTAACAGCATCTGCAATATGCAGGGTGTCCCCAAACATTAGTAATAAGGAGTTGGAAGTGGCATAGTTGGAATCCTTGGGAAGCCAACACCAGAAGCCAAGCTCTCAGGGGGCCCCTGTGAGGACATAGAGCCAGAACACAGGGAAGGACAGGTTAGGCTTGCAGCCCTGGAAGGTCCCTGGAAGCCACCCATCCCACAGACAGTGTGGAGTACCTGTCCTGTGCCAGGCCCTGCGGGGTAGGGGGGGTGGGGGTGAGAGTGGGGGGGCTGGGAACGCCTGGCCCTGCCTGCTTGACAGTCAGGACTGGTTATCACAGAAGGACAGAAGTAGCCATGGTTACTTCATGCCTGTGGACCTCCCTCTGCCTCTGCTCTTCCTACATGCTGTGACTGGCATGTCCATCGACCCCAGCTCAGTCATGTGGGCCATTCCCTGGGTTGCCTGGGAGGCAGGATGGCAAGAGATTTGGACTCAGGTGCAGTACATAGAAGGGACTTGGAATCCATTAGAACCGTCTGGCTTCCCAGACCTGACAGGCTCACCCGGACTGGAATTCCTAGTGATCTCCAAGGCGTGCTGTTCCCACCCTTGGCCAAGTGACAGAGCCACCCACTGCCTCCCCGGGCCTGAATATAATGGAACAGAGCCTGGCAGGAACCAGGGCTTCTGGGCATTGACAGCCAGGAAAATATTTCCTCCAACTCCCCTGGCCTCCTTTCCCAAGGCCCTCCTCCAAGCGTGCCAAGCATTCTCCAGAAAAGTCACTCCTGGGCCACCCAGGTCCCGCAGTGGAGAGGTGCGCGGTAACTCACAGGGTCACCACCCGCCCAGGGCTGCAGTCTGCACATCCACCAGCTGCGGGTCAACAGACCTGTCCTTCGCTGGCCTCCCTCCTGCCTGTCCGCAGAGATAAGGTCGACC